CATCGTCATGTCCCAAGTTCGCATGCCGCATCAGATGATCGTGCAAGACATGTGCAACCATTCTGTGTATCTGCACGTTATACAATACACTTGGTGAGGTGCCTTTGTAGTTCCTTTGTGTGTCACCTTCAACGGGGACAGTCGGAACTGCTTGAAAATGAACTTGATCGATCTCACGGTCTCCAGGGTCACGGCCTTCTTCCGGCCAATAGCGAGCATACACTCCTGCAAAGCACGAATAAACAAAAAGGTGAGAAGGCGAGGAGGGGGGGTGTCCTCATAGTCATGCATGCATAGTCGTTGGACCATTGAACTCGCATCCCTACAAAGCCGGGACGGAGCACGCCGGGTTCTCACCGGACCAGGCTCTCACATCACCAGGCGCGAAGCGCCGTGAGATATTCGGCGAGTCGCATGAAGGGTGCGCTGCATCCTGCTAAGCGTGTTCGGCATCTTGTGCTTACGTCCTTGCGTAGAGATGACAGCTGCCTATGACTTCATTTGTTTTCTGGTGCTTCACTTCCAGAGCAGTTGCAAGCACTGTGTAACTGCCTCGAGGGTGCTTGACCATTTTAACACAACGTGGTGCGATCATCCCCCTTGCGCGGAGTGAGGGTCCTCGACCCCGCACAAAATAATCTTCTCGACCACCATTCGTGGCGACCGCAATAAAAAAACAGAGGTTAACAAAAAAACCGGTAACCTGGTTGTCGAGTTCACGAAGTGAATTGGCTTGTTTCACAACAACGCTGCCAAGCGACGAAAACCCAACCCCGGTGGCAAACACCGGGGGAGGGGAGGGGGGGGGAGGAGGGGGGAGGTTATCTGAGCGGTTCCCCTATGACCACCATACAAGCTCATATCAACATGTGGTATCAAAGAGTACGAGGATTCCCACAAAGAACACAAGCTGAAAATCTTTGGAGGGGCGTGTTTGGGATCGCATGCGGCACAAGTCCGCAACGGAGAACGCGAACGGAACTATCCCCTCCACAATGCACGGATAGTGAGCCACAACTGTATTATTCCGTGAAATCCCCGGGGTATAATGCGCACTGCGATCTGGATCATGAGTTGAGGGGGGGTGAATGATCGTTCTCGACAAACTGAAACTCAAGCACTGGGGGTTCACAGAAAGGTCGACACCTCACGTACCTACGTGACCACCCTTCCCGGCGGCATTGAACGATTGCACGAGCAATCACAACTCGCTTCACGCAACCCCCCTCTTTTCCGCATGAAGCAGCAGTAACGTTCACCTTGCCCAGCTTTGGTCGGAGCTTCGGCTCCTCGGCAATACCGGCCCGCCCCAAACGGCAGACCTTCACAAGCCATGCTCTACCAACGGCGGTATACCAAACGCATTCCTCAACTAACCCAAAAAATCGCACGGCCGAGACTAATAGTCAGATAATCCCCTCTTCCTCTGGACCACCAACCAACCCCTAGCGTACGTACGATACCTTGAACATGGCTTCTCGGTACATGGCGGGGCCCAGCTTCCCCTTGTACTCCTTGATGCAAAGCTCCATCTCCTTCTCGTCGCCGATGTGGTAGGTCATCTCGTCCGCAAAGGCCTCCACTAGATCCGTCTGCCGGTTAACGAATGCCGTTCCAGTTACCCACACCCCAGCTACGTGTGCATGTGTCCCGTGGATTTTCCCCATGTTGTTGGGGTTCCGTTTCCGTTTTTCGACCCGCAGCAGGCCGGAACGAAGAACGAACGAAACGGCAAGGGGGCGACGGGCGAGATTGGGGGCTGTGAGGAGAAAGTCCAGACTCACAAAACCTCCCACCAAAACAAATCAACCCTTCGGGGATACAGTGCACAAAGCCTCTCGTGCCACGATTCTTGATGGCCAACAACCAAATGCAGCCCGACGGGGTCGAATTGCAGGGTGCGCCAACAACGTTTTCTGCCGGGAAGAGACGTCCGATACTACGAGCGACGGCTTTCTTGCCCGACGGAGAGACAATACGTAGACGTATCTGTCTACCATCCCTTGCCTGTGACCGTTGCCACGACCAGCCCCCCGAAGAGGAGTTTGTTCTTCCTCGTAAGCGTCGCCTCTCGGCTGTTGGGGTCCACCACCTGACTCGTTCTCCTCTCCTCCCCCCCGGTGAAGCCCTGGAAATTCTCCTGTTGCATCCCCGATGCTGCTCCGATAGCGCCTTCCACCATCTCTGAGAACATGTTTGGCGGGAGGGCGGGCAGGGGGAGGGGGCGATAGCAGATGACCTCCATTGCGCCGGTAATACAACCGCGGTCACGTTTTTTTTGTTACTGCGTGGAGGAGAGAGGAGGGTGCGTTAGCAGATAAATTCGATTGCAATATCGTGAATGCAATTGTCACGTCGTTTTGGCCGTTGCTGCTGGTGACTTGGCAGGGTTGCATGCATATAGGTCAGAGGTCCCATTCTTGTCCAAACGTGCCGGGTACCAACTAGAATTGATGATATTCGAACCGACTGCTGTCGCCATGTTTCGAATCTCGCGGATGCTGATACAATCCGCCGGCAAGGCTCCCACTTTTCGCCGCCACTAAGTGCTTGTTACAGCTAGCTGGTACAAAGCGAAAAAGGATGGCCATCTCCCACGGAGGAGATCGTCTTGAGCACTTCGTTAACCTAAGTCAACACCAGGTGACTGACAGGCGTGCCACAAAATCAAGAGATCGCAAAGTCAGCTGGACAGTATCGTGCGTACAGCAGGTGAAAGGGACAATATCGACATTCGAGAACAATCTGCAACTGGGCACCCCAAAATCGAGGACAGTTTCCTTTAAGCTACAAACAACCTGACATGGCGTCAAGAAACGGGGGTACAGCGGCAACGCGCACTTCCGGGGCGCTTTCAGTGTTGTTATCACCACCTCTCATCTAAATGGCATCGAACAAACAACAAACTACGAAACTCCGTCGACCCCATGAAAAAACACAGCACCACGCCAAAACAATATGGAAGCGGTTTTCGGTTTCATGGCGGGGTGACAAAAAAAAATCAGCAAAAGGGAGGCACGTACCGCTGTCGTCATAACCGTCCCCGTCCACACTCATGGACTGCTGCTGCGGAATCCCCTGAACGGGCATCGCCGAAGCGACAACCACCCTCGAACCGTCCGCTCCCTCGATGCGCACGGGGGCCCCGCCAGATCTCCCTCTCGGACCACCCCCCGCCATCTGAAGCGGTCGGACCGCCGGCGTTCTCGGTGCCTGATAAATGAATTAGAGTTGGCGTTCGCGTCGTGGGTGGTGATGATGGTGTGAGGGAAGGTGTGCATCTGCACAAGTCGCTCGTTGTTGGGGTTTGCTGTGCCAGCCTCAATTGTGCTGGCGAATCAACCGCCAATAGCAAATAGCAGCGACATCGGATCTGTGGTACACGAGTACGTGACAACTGCTCTCGTCGCCGGCCAACAAGAGTGTTTGGTATTGACGGGCGCCGTCCGCCCCACCCCAACAATGCCACCCAGCCTTCAGACGTGCGCCCACAGGCTGCCGGAGGCCAAACCAAATAAGAGGGGTGTATCCTTCTCAATGAGCAGGCAGCACGTCGGCGCATGTCTTGCTGCACTTGTGTGGCCTTGTGGTGTGATGCAGCAGTACGCCGGACGGCGCCCGTGATACAGATGAGATTTCGTTGGCACATCAGCATGTCTTTGGTGTCGACACACCACTTGCTTTGCTATGGTCTCCCGTAGAATATCAGTGTACTAGGATGACTTTCCGGTTGCGTGGCGTTGCGGTGGGTTGGACGGCGCCAGTGAGGGCAGGTATTGTTGTTGTTGTCGTCACATTCAAAACCGTTCCGGTCTCTCGACTCAGTACTTTCTAATGTCCGTACTGGTCCAACTGACGCGGGCGCCTTCCGTGGTCACAAGCCAACTGCCCCCCATAGGGTTTGGAACGTTCCAACATGCACTGTTTTTCTTGTGCACACATATTTCGAGGACTATGTACAGGAGCAGTATTAATAGTTTTTTCCGCCACCGTCTTTTCCGTGTATGTTCCATCGCTCTGGGGTGTGTACCTCCCAACACGTGGGCAGTCACAATAACCTCTCGATAGTTGTTCTCGGGTCAGTTATCATGTAATACTGTCAATAGGCTCCAGCTGTAGTTACGCGCAGCAGGATCACATCATGAAGTACATTCCATCCGGAGGAAAGCAAGCGGCTGCTGTTTAGTAGCTGGTGCGCGTCGTGGGGTTTGCTATTGCTGTAGGTGGTGACATGCCGACCAAACCAGCAACAAGAATGCGGCGTGATTCTACTGCATCCGACATGAAAGTGTGTGGCAGCACGCAGTGCCACCAGCTCTCAATCGGTATAAACAGCAGTGCTGTTGTGCCCTGGGCGCAGTTGGCGACAAAAAGGCGTGTGTGTAGATGTACACCACGGACGGTGTAGACGCGGATACACGTATGTATCCATACACCAACAGGTCGTATGCATACAGCAATGCTACAACAGCGCGCTCGCACGAACGGGGGTATGTACGTGCTTCACCAGGTTCGTGTGTGTTAAACATTCCCCCTCTCAGGCAACACCTTCCGGCTCAGTTGGGCACAAGCAAAACAATGTGTGTACATAGAGCGTTGGACGCGCGTCGTGTGAAGCGTGTGTGACGGGAGAGCACTTGCTCCTTCCTACAGCAGTACACGCATGCATACATGTTATGCATAAGACTACGCGCACAAGACAACGTGCACGTTTGGTCTTTGTGACAACGCAAAAGTGCCCACCGCCCATTGAAATTGGTGAGGCACGCACATTCGGCGAGCTTACAAGAAAATCCAACAGAGATCAGACGAGGCATCGATTAGGCGTCGCAGCCAGCGCCAAACTACAATGAACACATGATCGATCCTCTTTGGGCCGTTGAGTTCAACTCGCTGTGGCAGCCACACACCAATCCTCCAACGATCCCCGGAGCTCAGACTTCCACACACCTTAGATCGAAGCCCACCCTTTGAAGGGCCCAAGACGAAGGCGCTGGCTGTGCTTCCACCGCTGGAAAGTGCCAGCGCCACCACGCCAACAGCAGCCTGTCGCCGCATCATGCCCCGAGCCATCGTCCGTCCTTCGTTGTGTGACCGCTGTGTAACACACACACGTGTACCGCGCACAAAGCTTTGCAAGTTGCGTCTCCTGCTGTCTCCGTGGTGCCACACCAGCTACCGAGCAATTCGACCACGACCACCTCGGCGTGACAGACCTCGAGTCTGCCTGGAAGCACAGATCAGCTCGACACGCGATCGACCCGAACGTGCGAGACAGAGATAACATAAGAGCGCGGGACGTAATCGACACCGACGACGTTGGGGGCACAGCAGATGGCAGTTAGGAAGGGGGGCTCGGGAACGATTTCAATCATGATGCAATGTGCGACAGAAACGCAGCGGCCAGAACTACATACTCCAAATACCTTCTCTCAGCAGCAGGAGGGGCCATAATGAAGATAGACTCGTACACTCACTTCGCCTGCCCGGCGTTCATGGACCATATCGAAGCCGAGAGCGGACACCCGATGGTATTCCGGGGCCTGTTCTCGTCCATCCCAGAGCTGTCGGATGTTGACATCCGAATCAGGCAAGTCGTATTGCTGCTCTTTAGTGCATGTATGTGCATGATACGTGTAGTCTACATGGGGAGTAGCGGACATGTGATCTATTGACGACCATGCAACACCACATCCAGTAAGCTGTCCAGGCCTTCTCCCGAAGTTTTATCTTAAGTGGTGGGTCCCGCGTATGCATGCTACGCTGGCATCTGCAACCTACTACTCGAGTATATACACGATGTGTGTCCTCGCGATCAGCACAGCAGGCTGGGTGTACAGCAGTGTCGGCGTGAGGAATACGGGATGTTCGTATGAAACCCAGGCTCGGATTTTGGACAAAAATGCCCGGAGAAATTGAGCATATCAGCCGGCGCTACATGAATCCCTACTTCTACAGTACATTGTTGATACGTGTAGCGGTTCCAGAGTCCACCAGCTACAATAGTCCTCCATGCAAATTCGGCACGCGAATGGCCGCCGTAAGAACTCGATGCTGCTTGCTCTGTCGATGGTACATCTTCTCTCGTTTTTCCAGGTATATGGACGAACACGGCATCGACGTCCACTGCCTCGTGCCGCTGCCATGGCTGGAGTGCGAGCCCAGACTGCACGCCGACGAGACCAAGGCGCTCGAGGTACGCAGGTTTCTGACAGTTTCGTGTTTTTTTGTTGCTGCGGCATCGTGACCATTGTCTCATACCGTGACGCTCTCCTTGTCCATCCCCCCGTGCACACCGAGCGAGCCTGAGAGAGCGCAGGGGAACTCCGAGGCTTTTGGGAACATTGGCCGAGCAGGCTGCGCCCATAATATCGGCTGTTGAAATCCACAAGTAGGTGCGACATCGAACCAATGGGCAGGAGGTGTTGCCTCGTCCTCGGAAGTAGTTCACGCTCTGTAAAATCTCCGGCTACACACCATTCGGTTTCGGGCCCGACGTGCGCCGTTGTTTTTGTTTGCACGGCGTGTGCCGCGCCGACGACATGTCGCGCACGCCTCTCCCAACGACAGGCTTGCAGGATCGCCAATGACGAGATGGCGCGAGTGGTCGCCCGGTTCCCCGACCGTTTGATCGGCGTCGCTCTCATCCCCACCACAACGGAACAGGTAGGTACAGTATGTGTGTCGCGTTTGATCTCGCTTACGCATACCACACAGCACCTCGTTTGCGCGGCATAATCGCACATAGCAATAGCGCCGAAGAGGTGTTGTTGCGTGTGCCATGTTTCTGAGGCTGTGAGCCGAGGTGGCCGGTGGAGAGGGGTGGCACACACACCGACGCCGTACTGTACCGTAGAGCTAAGGCGGTTGCGCTCGCGGTGATAACGGTGGCCTGCGGCAGTCTTCATCCAGACCGTGGCGTAATGATGGGAAATGATAGTCGCACGCCGGTTGTTGCTTTTCTCCGTACCACCGCCTGCCACATCTCGCGCCGCAACACGAAGATTTCTGTGCTGCAAAACGTGCATGATGTCGACAGTCCCGCCCGAGCATCGTGCTCACGAGCAATCGGTCTGCGTCGCCGCCTTTTCCCTTGCCGAGTGTGCACCAGGCCATGATTCAGGAGACCACTCGTGCGGTGAAGGAGCTCGGCATGGCGGGTGTGGCCCTGTTCGTGGGTCCGACGGCGAAACCCCCAGACATGACCTGCTTCGAGGGGTTGTACCGGACGTGCGAGGAGCTCGGGGCTGTCGTGTGGATGCACCCGTGCAGACCTCAGTCCTACGCCGACTACGACGCGTATAAGGTGCTTTGCTCGCTCGCTTGATGGCCTGTTGGGTCGAACACCCCTTCTACTTGCGCTTCTCCTTGCGCGTGCTGCTGAAGCAAGTTTCGGTGGGGTATGCGCGCGCTTCACCTGATAGCATGCCGCCTTGCTCCCAAGGCCTGGCTACGCGCGCTTGATTGTGACAACGCGGAAGGTTCACTGTAGCTGACATTGTACACACGGCAACAACGCCAATCCGCCTCAGGCTGTTCTGCCGTGCCACCTGCTGACAGGGGGAGGGCAGCAAGCACCAAATCTGGAATACTTTCGGCTGGATTTACGATACGTCAGTGGCCATGGTGCACATTGCGTTGGCGGGAGTGTTCAGGAGATATCCAGGTGTGATTCCTGGATCGAAATAGGCCAAGTAGAGTTGGAATGCCATGGTATTTGCGCCATGTTTTCTGGTAAACGAGGCGTGAAATGGATTGGGTAAGCCGTACGACGCCTTCTGAATCGCTGCGCCGGGTGTCTACAATAGAGTGCAAGTATCTGCTCTATTCATAACAGCGCGCCTCCCGGGTATTTTTTATGAAGAATCGCTTTTTGCCGCTGTTGGTCGCCTGTTTCTCCAGCCCTGTTAGCTAGTCGTCTCGTCCGGACCTACCATGTTGTTATTCTTTCCTCGCAGGCCTCAAGGTAGTCACCCATCACCACGGCGCCATGGTGCCCTTCTTCACGGCACGGTTCGACACGCAGCGAAGAAATTTCCAAGAAGGTGCGGGGTTGGCTCTTGCTCTCTGGGGCAAGCCACCGTCTGCGGAGAAGTTTTCGACAGACACGGCTGCGTTTGCATTTGGTGACGGTATGTTTGTTGGTAGGCGCTGTATACACGGTGATCGCTTCGAGGACGCCGCTCTTTGTTTGCCCCCTTGCAGTCGAAGGAGACGACCTCTTAGAAGACCTCCGACTTTTCTACTGCGACACTGCGACCTTTGGTGAAAGTGCGGCCAACATCCAGCAGGTGCGTGTTGTTTTGTGTTTTTTTCATTTCAAATCAGCGCTCACAGCACTTGTGCTGTCTGCTCCATCCCGTGGTCACGAAGAAGGGTTCCTCTCCCTGAGGTCCCCGACCCACCCCTCCTGCGGTACTTTGCCTTTGATTTTGATGCGAGGAAAGTGCAGCACTCTCTTCCCACCTTGTACGCACGAACTACTAGCGCTCTCCACGCAGGCCATAGACGGAAGAGTGAGCAAACTCGCTTTGCAAGAATACCTCGCATACGCCCAGATTCAAAATTCCTGACCCTGGCCTCTAGAAGGTTTTCGAGGATCGAGGATACCAACAAGACTACCGGGTTGCCTAGGGTTCATACCAGCACAGTTGACGGCGTACTACGGTTGTAAACGCGGGTATCGCAGAGGGCAACAATAAAAAGTTCTCAGGAAAAATATCTATGATAGTGCGTGCGTCGGGTGACGGTGTGGCTGTCGACTTTGCGGCCGGCGGCAGCCTAGAAAAGAGAGGACTTTTCTGTGGAATAGGCCGGTTTTGAAGGCGAAGCTCTTGTCAGTTTGGTAGTGGGTAATTCGACCCCTGGTAGCCACAATGCTGGGTTCCAGTTGATGCTTGTTTTGATGGACTGGTGTGCATTTCAAGGACGTAGACCACAGCGCTTGCCGCCGGGCTTTCAGTGGATAGCAACATCTTCACTCGGCGGCTTCTGCAAATGGGTGCGACGAAAATGGACTTATCAAGCTCCACCCCTCTCCGCTCGTGACCTTGCTTTGAATTTTGTAGCCGCGTTATTCTGCCGGGATATCTCAAGCATTCTCTAAGTCCCACCTGCGACGACGTTATCCAAGGCATGTTTTTTTTTGCGGTCGATTTGGTCGGTCTCCGATCTGCCCTCACATCGGAGAGATAATTCAAACTCTACTATGCTTCACTGTCACAGGCTATCGACTTTTTTGGCAAGTCGCAAGTGTTGTTCGGGACCGACACGCCCATGGACATGGGGACGAGGGGTATGTTCACGAGGACAACCATCGCTTCCGTCGAGGCGCTAGGTGCCGCACCGGAGGACAAGGAGTCTTTTTACGCGGGGTGAGCTCCGCGTACGACCTCGTGTGTGACGGGGAATGTTGGTAGAGAATGCTCACCGAGGTTTTGTCTACTTTGCTTCACTTTTTAGAAGTGGATAGTGTGCTTGTGCCACTTGGTTCACGACTGCTGTTGGTTCCATTACCTACCGACATCGGGGGCCTCACAGCAGTAGGGCACCTATCCCATGGCTGGCACAACAGCAATGTAGCTTTTTTTTGAAAATGAACGCACTATCATTGAAGGAGTAGCGATCCAAGGCGGGACTCATGGTCTTGCTCAACACCAAGCTATTGTGAAGTGATATGGAAGTAGAAGCGAGCTATGTACGGTAGGACGAGAATCCAGGTTTGACTTACGTCACTGTTGTACCCTCTTTCTTGTGTTCTTGCTCAGGAATGTCTTGGATATGCTCGGAGAGCGCTTCGCCGGCATTGCCGGAGCTGGAGGAGCCGCCGCTGCTCGACCTAAAGCAGATAGTACTCGCATAGCTGCAAGCTTGTAGATAACAATCGTGGGGGTTGCTGACACCAGTTTCGAATTGTTTTAGAGAATCACTAGTCTTCGTCCTAATGTGATGTGCTCCACTCATTTCGATCTGTGATGTGCTCCACACATTTCGATCTCGGAGAAGTCCGGCCTTTCGCCACCACCAATCGGCGTGGTCTCCTGAGCTGTGTCTTTCAGCGGTGCATCAGCACCAACTCTTGTTGGATGTTCGTGTTCCAACAGATTGAGAGTACGGATTTCATCGCTTTCGGATGTGAATATTTTTCCTCTCGATAGGATCGTGAGGTGGGTAGTCCATGTCACGGTGCAATGTGGGTGCGTTGCGTACGACAGAGAAAGAGAGGGAGTGATTGCCTAGATTGTGGAAGTAGGCGAAACGCTCCCGGGTACCGACCGCAGGAACGCATCGAAATTCTCCCTTTTGGGAAAGATCGTCCTTTCCTCTACGATGGGCGAGGTTGCATGCATGCATCGTCTAGTCAAGCCGTAATCACCTGCTAAATTTACTCCATTTACGTGTAGCAGCAGGGTGTGGTTCACTCTCTGGCGGGAGCGAACAATTTGGAATTCAGACATTGATTTTGGTGGATAGTGTTCTAATCGTTGTGAGCACAGCAGTGAGAGAGAAAAGGGACTGCTGCAGAACCTTTATCTCTTGAAATAATTGAGACACGCAGTTCATGGGCGAGAAGGTGGAACGAAAAAGTACCGGTGTGGTCGTACATTTTCCCATACTGCTGTGGAGTTTGTGACCCCCGGCTGATGCGCGTCGAAAAAATAAATTCCACACAGCAGTAAATCTCACACCGGACTAGCAGTACAGGGGACGAACAAACACAAACGCGCGTAGTGTCTTGCAAGCAGCGTAGGGTCACCCAGCGTGCCGCCCTGCAAAGCATCCTCGTCGATATGCACAAGTTATCACTACAAGCAAGGTGTGTGATATAAAGTGATGATGTCCTACGTCGTGGATTCGCCTGCAGGATTCGGGTCTCCGCAGAATGAAGAGTGGGGGGCGGCGGGTATCAGTTTATCCTGTTCACGGACCATCGCGCTCGGTGCGGTGCGCTTGGTGCTTGAGCACCTAGTGCCACGAGCGGCGTTGCAGGGTCATCGTGTGTGTGCGTGAGCTGCCACACAGATCTCACAGGGGAAACGGGGGAGCATCATGCGTCTGAGTGAGTTTCTTTCGGTGTTGAATCTTGCTGCAGTTGCACAAGGCGGCCGTGGGACGGTTGGATGGGGTTCAAAATCAGCGGCTGTTATGAGCGATCGACGCGTGTTCAATGACCGGCATCGCCAGCACCAGTCTCGCAGCGCTGTTGCCTTCTTTGGACGCCGTCCTAGGACTACCACACCGAGAGTGACTGGGAGCTCGGAGGCGGAATCAGCTGTCGACGCACTATCCGATGCATCAGGAGCAGGTGTCAAGGTAGTACGCGGTTTGCCGACAGCAGCGGACACTTCAGCTGCTGATTCTGCAGGCGATTCAGCCGCAGCCCCAAGGTACGCGTACCCAGCATGCGTCCACCACAGCTGTTGCATGGTCGTCCTCACCAACCCATCTACTGCTGTAGTGCATGTTGCGGTTTTTTGGGCCTGCTTTGGATTTGTAGACCTTTCTGTGCAGTTGGTGTGCTGAAGGTGCAGTCGACATGTCCGTTGTTAGACTCCCCACATGAGGCTTTCGGCGGCCCGTCTCATCGTCGCATCCAGCTTCAGTTGTGTACACATTTACTACAACAACTGTATACACATTCTATGTGAAGATGTGAAACCTTCGAGCTTCGGCATGCCGTCAGCTTTCGCCGTTCTGTGAAAACACCTTCGTCCGGACGCACTGCCCATCGCTCTCCATGCGTAAGTTAACCCATATGCATAGCAAACCAGCCTTTTAGCGTTCACAAATAAAATCGAAGTCACACTCCCAGGGCACTCGTACAGAAAATGGTTGGGTTGACGTTTGGATGCTTGCAGCAGTACTCTACCTGCATTGGTGCTAACCAGTGTGCCGTGGCTTGGTGTCATGTGCGTGGCGCTCTGTATGACCCCGGACAGAAAATCTTTAGTCAACACCTGGCAAGAAAGCTGTGCGATGTACCATGTAAGAAGCTGCGAGCAACGGGCCGTTACTTCAACGGGACGACAGGGCCGCAACGGCTGCACAGCAGTTGATTGGAATAACCTAGAGAGCATCTAGACGGAGGTCGCGACGTCCGCTGCGGCCGTACGCGGTCCAAGCTTCTACCGCTGTTTCTACCACCAATGCATCGCCGTTATCGTCTCATTGGTGATTGTGTATCACCCCCCTTATTTCCACATGTGTTTCCGACGTTTGTTTTCGCCCCGACCACAACGACGCCCAGAGTGAGCGCCGCGCAGGGGATTGTCAACACATTCCGAGACTTTTGGGGTCACGCAAGAGACGGGACGTTTGCCTTGTGGGGGAATTTCAAGGCAAGAAGACATGTTCCTTCACCTTGTGCATGGTTTCCTTCCGCATACTGATGGAAAAAATAAAAAAAAACACTTGAAACTTGTTGTGGATTGTTCGAAGAAAGAATCAACTGTATACATGCAAGCGAGTTGGCATATCGCTTTTCACGTCACCTGTGCCGCGAATCCAGCCCGTTGTGCTTGAAACGAAGTAGAGTTGTATGCATGTGATCGATAAATTGCACCTCTTGCGGTCTTGATGACATCACCTTCTTGTGTACCTCAGGACCAAGTCCGTCCTGTCCGTCGCTTTCGCGGGGACGCGTTTGTTTGCTTGCGATAAGTAAAGCCGAGTCTGGGTTGTGTTTCGATCGATAGATGCACATGGTCGAGCTTTTCTGTGTCCGTATCTCGTGTCTTCCAGCATGACCCGCAATTGATTCCAAGACCGGCATCATCTGAGACGGCGGGAATTCAACACGACCTTCCCTAGTGATCGTATTGGTAGGCAATGTGTTCTGTCCGCTGCACGGTTTCCCTGAGTTTGACCCCGACGTTGTCTCTTAACGCTCGTCCGCGCTAAATATTGTGGTCATCGTTTCTTAAATTTGGTTTGCAGACTAGCCAAGATATCAGGAAGCGGGTGAAGGCTGGGCATGTAATGACCTATGCGGAGCACGCACACCTGGAGCGTGGCGCTATTGTGAGTTCTGTCTGGTTCTTGGCCGGACGTGCGATAGTGCAGAGAGTTGTTCTCCATAGTCTGCATGCCCCCCCCCAATCTCTTCACGCTGGGGACACTTCGCTGAAGTGGTGCCATATGGCCACTTGCGCTTGTTGAAGGCCCCGTCGGGCCTAGAATACGTTGGCTCTGTGTGGGGTTGTATATCTCTCTCCGGTATTCCACGATCTTGTTCCTAGCCCCCCCCCCCATAATTCCTTCCGCATGCTGTCATTACTGCTACTATGCTGTACGCTCCTCGCGGAACTATCACGTCAACAGGACCGCAGAAAACTGCTGCAGTACCTTATCGCCTACGCGGTATCGCCGAAGAACTTCGTGTACGTTGTCTGGTACGTCCCGGGGCTCCTTCCCTCGACGTTCGTGAAACCTCATACCGTCCGCTCCAAATACCACAGGTAAGCATGTATCGTACCGTTTTTCGAACCTTAATTTTCTCCTTATCGCTTCTCGATGGCGAATTACATTTTTGCACCAAACTTGTGGTACACGGCGTGGCCGCAGTACGGCCTGCTGTTGTTTGGCTTTTTGGGGTGAAAAAGTTGCGTGAGGGTCGTAGTGCGCGAGCCTGTTTGAGAGAGCGACTTGTTGGCGATTTCCCTGCAGAACAGAACGATATCTGAACGTACTGCTAGGACTCACGCGTACCATGCATGTGGTGAGTGTTGTCGTCGCCCTCTCGGCCACGTTTCCAGAACTCGCTTCCTGACTTCTACTTGACTTGCTTCGCCACCCTTCCCCGTCTTTTTCGAGGGTATTTTCACTGAACTCGTGTCGTCTGCGTGTACTTCTTTGCGTTGTGTTATGTGTGCTGTTCTCGACTAGACTCGCCCTCGAGCGTGCGTCGGCCACGTGGGATGCTGTCACGGGGCTGGAGTTCCGGCTCCTGAAAGCGGAGGAGGGGTTCAAGGGAAAGCGTAGAGAAGAGGGGTCACGCCAGTCCAAGAAAATGGAGAAGCTGGAAAGGCAGAGAGAAATGGTGCTCGATGTGCTCGAGGCCGAGAGCAAGAGGTGAGTCCGTCAGACGTCGGAGCATGCTTTGTTGTCTGGGCGCCTTGTGGTGTATGTTCTGGTGGGAGGTTGGGAGGCGTGATGCTGAGGGTGTTGAGGAGGATTTTTCTTGCCAATTCGGTGCGTTTCATGATGGTAGATTTGTTGTGCTGGGCTCTTGCGGTGAAGTGTAGCCCGGAGCCTGTTATCGATGAACTCTGCGGAGTCCGAGGGAGGCTTGTCGAGTGTGGGTGTGTCCCCTTCACCCGCGAGGTCTCGAGCACGATCACCGTACTGAATGCCACAATCAGATCGGAAAACCGCTTCCATTTCGCCAGCGCGGTTGCTCCTGGCGCATGCTGGACTTCGCGCAGCGATGGTTTGCTTTTCCCTTTTCCTCTTTTGGGATACTTGCGCTCACAACTTCCTCGAAGAAACGCTGAGGTTCCAATTGAAGGCAGTCCCTCGTGATCTGGGGACAGCAGGCCTTCCCTCTCCTAACCTTACCTGTTTCGTGTCGTGTCGCCAACAACAGGCAAGTATTCGAACGGTTCCAGGACCACATGGTAGTCCCTGCCCCCGCCTCTCCAGACCCAGAGAATGCCGCCGCAAGCAACAACAAGATCACCAAGAAGAGCAAGAAGCCAAAGTCCCAGAAGCTCAAGCTTCCCTCGGCTAGCAAGGGGGTCCCTAACACGTACATCAAGGCGCTCGGCAAGGGCACGGGGCTGTCGGGGTGGTGGCACATCTCGCCTGGGTTCTACGTGCGGTACTGCCTCAGCGAGAGGTTGAGAGACCTGGGCAGGATGGACGATGTCCTGAGAACAGTCTCGCTGGAATCGCTCAGCGACAGTGATCTGAGAGAGGCCTGCGACGCTAGGGCTATCAACGTGGGGAACCGGCTCGGGGGGGACCGTGAACCGCAAGACCTGCGGAAGTCGCTCGGGGAGTGGCTTGACCTTACCTCGCCTGAGGTCGCCGCTGGGAGCAAGCTTGGCCCTGACACGGTCTTCCTGCCGGATCGAGCTAGGTTGTTGGGTCTGGGGCTCAACTGTTTGGAGAGCGCGCGGCAAGGGAGGACGGCAGAGTTGCCGAGAAAGGCGCTCGCAGTCGTTGGAAAGGGGGGTGCGATTCCATGAAGCCTTTGCCTCGTAGCCTGTTATTCTGAACAGGTTCCTAGTTCTTGCGTCATTATTTTCGATGGCGTTTCTTTCTTTTTCCTTGAGTAGTTGGCTTTTTTTTTTTTTGCGTATTTTGGTTGTATGGTTTGCTGGCGTGCATGCGTTAGACCACATGTGGGTCTGGGGATGGGTGAAAACCTGTAGACGGCGAGTTCGATTTTTATTTTTGAAAAGTGTTCTCACTACAAGCACATGGTAGTTTGATGTGAGCTGCTGCGAGAAACGTAACGTTCGGACACGCGCGCACACGTGACATCTTTGAACTATGAACTATTTTTCTGATCATCCGAAAACAAGCAGACGCGCATCTATCACGACATGTATGGAAAATGTCGTGTGCTTTCGCTCGAATACGCGGGCTTACTTTCCTCAACAAAAGAGGCGTCATTACTTGTGTTTTTCCTATTGCCAATCTCCAACACATCATCCTTAACACGTGGCCTCAAGTCGTTGATGTTCCTCTCCCACGGGGATTTCTCAGCGTGGCAAAGTTGATGGGAACCCTCCCCCTTGCCGACAAAACACCGCAACAAGCGCGACTCGGTTGGCCTGCACTTATTCCGCTCTCGAAACTGTCTTGACGTTTCCAACTGTACAGATATCGGGAGCCTTCGGGCGAGATCCGCCATGTCCCTGGTCCACCGTATCTGTCACTTCATTACACTGGCTGTAAAGAAGTCTACCGAGCCGTCCTTTGCGTACATTCCCACAAATGGACTTTGTTTTCACATATTTATCGCACATCCCAATGTTGCCAACGGAAACGGGTTGAAGTGCCGAAGGGAAGCGGGGGTATCACAGCTGCACACACCAACCTCGGGCGAATTGAATGTGTAAATTTCTTTACCTAGCGATGCGTGGAGACGATGGGAGACGACGGGGGGAGGGCAGCGCGTGTGGGAAAGGTGGAGGAGGGTGCTGAAGGCTGGAGGAGACATCCGCGGAGCCCCCTCTCGTCCTCGCGGCGTTCCTCGTGCTCGTGAGCTCCGCTCAGAGTGTCTCCTGTGCCGTTGTTCCTCACCGTTTCACCCTTTCTTTCTCCGGGTGGATGATCTACGAAGTGGCAGCTGCTTGGTTTTGGATTCGGTGTGGTTACGAGGAAGCGAGGAACGGTTCTCGACACGCACAAAAAAATCGCACTGCTGCGGGCTGCAGTTTGAAATTTGAAACAGCGCGCAAGAGCGACGCCAGTTTGAAAACGCGCACCCATCAAGGAGAGAGAAGGAGAGGATGGGGCGTCTCATACGAATCGAGGCGGAGAACTTCAAGTCCTATGCCGGGACTCAGATCATCGGCCCTTTCAAGGACTTCACCGCGGTGATAGGGCCCAATGGTGCCGGAAAATCCAACCTCATGGATGCCATCAGGTATGCATATGATACGGCGAAGAGGGCGGTCTGTTGGCACGGCATGGCAGCATGCTGTCACCAGCAGTTTTGGCATCGGGGCAAGGCACCGCCTCGTTGGCATTGCGATGCTTTGATGGGGGTGTCCTTCAACTGCTTCGCTGCGCAGTCGTTATTGTTGGCGAGTTTTCTCCTCATCCCACAGAGAAGGAGAGCTGCGTTGTGTCTCTAAGCTACTTCACCGTTACTGCTGTGGATTATTCAGCAGTCGTGACATGAGACTCACGACAACACCCCCCCATGTTGTTTGTAGACACAGCAGACTGAGAGCAGGGCCTTCCTACAGTAGGGTAAGAGCATGCCTCTCCAGAGATTGGCGAAGTCACGCCTCTGACCCTTACCCGCTGTTTTGCGCAATAGTTGTGATATCATTAATATGAGGAGAAACGAATATTCACACAGAAAGACTACCCGTTCGAGGTATAACTACACTCGAAGGGGATGTGTTGAAGTCTTTACAGTGAGTAGAGGAAAACCAGCTGGGTACTTGACTTATTTCGAGTTTGTTTAAGCCTATACACTGATGATTTATATCAGTGATACCAGTTGGTGCTTAGCACAAAAACATCTGCGTAGGTACATTTACATGTGGCCTGCACAGGGAACACGGCGCAATATGTCATGTTGACAGTAGTTGCTGGTTTAATTTAGAAAAATACATATATTAGGAAAAACAAATATGCACACAGAAAGACTACCCGTTAAACACATAAAAGCTCCCTGTTCGAGCGAAAATCATAGTCGTTCCAGGAGGGCTTTTTACAGCAGTATTTAGGTAAAACAAGTATACGTGCAGAAAGGCTACAGCAGTATGCAATAACCGACATACGTTAGTTTATCTATTTACTACAAAGTACTGTTTATTACAGCAGTAGTTGTTGTACCTATTTGAAAAAACAAATATACACTAGTCTAATTATTTATTTTATTTTATTTTATTTGTTTCTGATTATATTTTGTTTTCTTGTATTTTATCGCTCTGCTGACCCTTGGGGTCCATTTTATTTTGGTATACCTTTTCTAGGTACGTTAGCCTGTGACCACGGAAATTGGCCGAGTCAAGTGATGGATTAGTACGGAGAGATTGAGACAGAAGGAGGTACTGGTTAGGTAATATTGTCGAGAAGCGCCTACGCGACTCAGAAAGTCGTTTCAAATGCTCTGTCGAAACGCTGTCTTCTCCTCCGCTCTGTCGCCTTTCCCCATCACGCGTCCAAATATAGCGTGTTTATTTCCGCCGTCCGGTTTTATCGCCTCGCATCTGCCCCCCACAATTGCGCTTCAGCGTGGTTCTACGCATGCAGTGTCACGTGAATATCCTCCTCCGTCCCTCGATCTCTCTCGAAAAGGGTGTTGTACTGCTATCATAGGGTCAGTGATCCCAGCACGCCCATGCTTCGCTGGCGAGCAGACCACCGAGAGCTCCCCTTCTCCTCGCGGCGTGCACTCACTCTCAAAACGAACGGAGGGGAGGGCTTGGTGGTGTCACCCCAACGATTGTGCCCGGGAACAACGTGTAACCCCCCCCCTCCTCCTCCGCCCCCCCGGTGTTTGCCATCGGGGTTGGGTTTTCGTCGCTTGGCAACGACGTTGTAAAACAAGCCGCCCCCCCCGGTGTTTGCCATCGGGGTTGGGTTTTCGTCGCTTGGCAACGACGTTGTAAAACAAGCCGCCCCCCCCGGTGTTTGCCATCGGGGTTGGGTTTTCGTCGCTTGGCAACGACGTTGTAAAACAAGCCGCCCCCCCCGGTGTTTGCCATCGGGGTTGGGTTTTCGTCGCTTGGCAACGACGTTGTAAAACAAGCCAATTCACTTCGTGAACTCGGCAACCAGGTTACCGTTTTTTTTTTTTACCTCCGTTTTTTTTTTTGGCGGTAACCATAATGGTGGTCGAGTAGATCATGTTGTGCGGGGTGGAGAACCCTCACTCCGCGCAAGGGGGATGATCGCACCACGTTGTGTTAAAATGGTCAAGCACCCTCGAGGCAGTTACACAGTGCTTACAACTGTCTCTGGAAGTGAAAGCACCAGAAAATAAATTAAGTCATACGCAGCTGTCATCCGTACGCAAGGAAGTAAGCACAAGATGCCGAACACCCTTAGCAGGATGCAGCGCACCCTTCATGCGACTCGCCGAATATCTCACGGCGCTTCGCGCTTGGTGATGTGAGAGCCTGGTCCGGTGAGAACCCGGCGTGCTCCGTCCCGGCTTTGTAGGGATGCGAGGTCGATGGTCTAATGACTACGGCATGCACGACTACGAGTACACCTCCCCAGAAGATATCTGTTGCTTGTGCCGAGTTAGAAGCACAGAATCTAAGGAAAACATCCAAGGATATGGAGGGTCTAGAAGTGTACGGAATGTTGAAGGAAGGAATATGGTTCAAGGACTACCTACATGGACCAATGGATGCAGGAACAAAGCTCAAGGTCAAATTCAGGACCGGGGACATAGGCCTTCGAGAACGTCGACGAAGTCATAGGACGGTAGACGACTAAGACGACGAGTTCAAATGTGATTGCGGCTTCGAATGCCAAGACCGTGTTCATGTAGTCGCGGAATGTCCGTTGTACAAGAAGGAGAGGAAAGTGTACGTGACTGAGCTGGGAAAAAAAAATACGACGTACAGGGAGATGTTTGAGGCATGGAGTAGAGAGGAAAGGACGGTAGCTGTACTGGAGCATTGGAGGTGAGTTGAAACGGCGGGAAGGGATATCGTTAGGATAGACAGACTAGGGAAGACATTTTTGAGCCACATTTGGCAAAGTAGAAAGGAACGATTGACCATCGGTGATCGGTCCTGTGGGAACAATGCTCCGTCCTCTCGAGGACGCGTGTTCANGTCCGTTGTCTTCGCCCATGCTGCCACCGCCGGTTGTGTATCGGGCAGCTTCGTCCTTGGCGTGCAGTCAAAGCACCTGCGGTCGACCAAGCTCAGCGACCTCGTTTTCCGGGCCGACGGCGCGGTGCCTTCGTCTCGCCGTGCGATGGTCAAGGTACGCCAGTCAGTCAATCGGTTAGCCACTCAGTCGTCCAGTTCGGCAAGCATCCACCTGCTCTGAGTCGCGTTGTTTGATGGTCGAGCTACGAAGGGACAATCAGAATCTGGTTGGTTGGTCAATCGGTCAACGTGTCCGACGCATGCAAGACCATCAAACACACACAAACACACATAGATCACATGGCCGGTACAAGCATGTTGCGTTTTGAACCGCACAGACTGGTGTCTTTTCATTGGTCTGAGGGTTTGCGCGATCGATGCTAATGCTAAAGACGCACTCTGCCGCCCCGGTCTTGCCTCACGCAACCGACCGTGTCGTGTGAAGGTGGTGTATATGGTGGGTGAAGGCGAGGAGGTGGGAGGGCAGGAGGCCGGGGACGAGGTCCACTTCAGCAGGGTCATCAGCGCGGGGGGAGCGTCTTCCTACCGCTTGAACGACAAAGAGGCATGTACCTCTTTCATCCTGTCGCGTGATGATGTCTCGTGTCAAACCGTTGACCCTGGGGTGGTAGATGTGTGGTATGGCCCGCAAGATGCGATGAACTTTGGTACAGCAGTTGGCGAGTGTGTTTTCAAACCCGTGCTACGCTGCAGTTCGGTTTTTTGTTGTGATACCGACGCCCTCGCCGCAACCGTGGTGGTAAGAAACCATGTTGGCATGTGAAAAACATCGACCCTAGTACCACCACCACCAACGAAAAACACCCAGGAAGAAAACGATAACGACTAACGAAAGAACAGCAACAGCAGCAACAACAACAACAGCAGCAGCAACAACATTATCAACACCAGCACCAACAATGTTGCCCGCAGGTGACCTGGGAAAGCTACGAGAAGCGACTGAGGAGCATCGGGGTTCTGGTCAAGGCCCGCAACTTTCTCGTCTTCCAGGGAGACGTGGAGTCCATCGCCTCAAAGTCCCCCAAGGAGCTCACGCAGCTGTTCGAGCAGATCAGCGGCTCAGATGAGTCCAAGTGAGATATATTAGCTATTATTGCCACGTTTGGATGCCGTTAACTTGTTGCAAAGAGATTCGGTTCCTGTTCATTGTGGAACTGCTGTCTCCCTTTGGGGTACCGATGTCGTTCTTTGGCAACAGGGGGCGGTCATAGGCCACCTTTTTGGGGGCGATGCACTTGAAAACATCTGTGGCATTTGTTGCGGTTGGGTTGGAACACATTCCCTCACTTCCTTTTTTTGTTTTTGCCTCATTCTTCGCATTATCGACATGTCGACCAACGGTATTCTCCACACCTCGCGCCGGCACATCTTGTGCTTAATGCTAAGCCGTTCGAGCGCATACACACTTGGTTCCCGTGGGCGTTATTGTGTCTGCTGTCCACAGGGCTGAGTACGAGGAGCTAAAGGCTGCGAAGGAGAAGGCGGAGGAGGACACCATCTTCAGCTTCAAAAGGAAGAAGGGCTGCCAGGCGGAGCGAAAGCAGGCAAGGGGTTAGCCATGTATCCCATGTAGTCTACGGCAGTAGTGCACCACAGCTCGTGGCGAGACATTTGCAGCAGTGGACACCTGCTGCGAAAGGTTAGAAAGCGAACCCCAGCAGCGCACAAGCCACTCTGCGCTGGTACTTGCTGCGTAAGTCACCATGGCGGCAGTTACGGTAAGAATCCTGCAGCAGCAGCAGCAGCAGCAGCAGGAGCAGGAGCAAATACAGGATCGGCAAGAGAAAACACCCGCAGGGCTAGATGCTGGATACCGTTCGTGGCGGTAGGTGTACAGCAGCGAAATAAGCTGGGAAGTAGCCATCGACGTGCTGCAGTCAAGATCTGACGAACTGCTCGCCTCTCGTTCTTTCGGGTATTGTCGCGCCGTACTCTCTGCCTGCATGTGCTTTCGCGAGCAGCACCAAGTGGTGGTGGAGTTTAAAGATTTCGTGGGGGCTGTAGCGATGCGTCGTTTTGCCTGGTGTCCTTTTTGCCGAGAAGTCGTGATTATTTGTCACTGTTTCGTGTCACAGGTGAAGGAGCAGAAGGAGGAAGCGGAGAGGTTCCAGAAGAAGCTGAAGGAGATGGAGGACCTAAAGATCGAGAGCTTCCTTGTCCAGCTGTTTCACATCAACAAGGCAAGAGAGATTTCCCACAACTGCGTTGGGAGGGTATCCACAAAGATAGGAACAGGGCGGGAGGGGCACCCGAGTATCGTTTATGAGGAGGAAGAGAGGAAAATGAACAGAAACATGTGGGAAATGTGAAAAAGGTGAGTCTGTCTGCACCAACATATCGCACCCTGTATTTCTCATATATCAATCGTCCTCTTCGTCAGATGAAGATTCGCTGTTGATAGTAGGATGCAGAAAACCAATGACATATGTACTGGCTTTTTCAAAAGGTGTTCATCCATGGTATGGGTTGTCCACTGGTCTCATCAGCAAATCGTGCCTGTTAGAATGGAATGGTTTGTGCAATGGTATCTGGACTTGTCGTGTCTTGTTTCAGGATGTCGACGAGCGAGAGGAAGACATCAAGCTGATGAGGGAAGAGCTAGAGGAAGCGCAGGAGCGGGAGAACGCGGCGGACGTTATTCTCAAGGTGAGGCAAGATATGATACGTAATAACATGTGTGCGTGCAGTTGGGCGGTGTCAGTGTTGCGTTCTGAGACGGGAGAGTGGGCCGAGAGACAATAAGAGAGAGGTATAGAACGAGAGCAACAAATAGAGAAATATCGTAACCGCAACAATTAGTCATTGCAACACATGCGCTTTTTCAAATGAGAGCTGCGCAGTTCACACATTATTGTATGTCGGAGGAGAAGCCCTTCCGACCGATACACTAGTTATCACATACCGTTTAATGGCAGTTTCACCGATGATGCTGTGCAGTACACTGCAGTGAAAGGAGGAATTTTGCCTAGTGCGAAACCCCAAGAGTGTTCTTGCCTATGGCACGATCTTGTGCGATGCAGCTCGTTCCGCACAGAGAAAAGATTGCATATAGAGAAGTCGTCAACCAACCTTAACCAAGGACTGCTAACCCCAAGCACGTGGTGCCCGTCTGCAAGCAAGTGCTCGCCTCGCCTCGTAAGAAGGAGTTGCAGAAATGAAGCCATAGTAAACAAAATCGATCGAGAAGTGTGCATGGCATGTACATTTGTGCGTGTCCCGAGGAGGTGAAGAGAATTATCCAAAACCAAAACACGTTGATCTATTAAAGCGGATATTATGCATGTACATCTACGCGGGTCCCGACGGGTTGCAGCATGGAGCCAGACAAAAGCAGTTTGATCTAGAAGTGTGTACGTGTCCCGATCCTCGCAGAGCAAGAAGAAGGAAATGGCGAGGCTGAACCGCGAGCTGCAGAAGGCACAGGCGGAGCTGAACCGGCAGAAGCGTCTCCGTGACGACATGGGCCCCCAGCACATCAAGATCAAGGAGGGCATCAGCACGCTCAAGCGGCAGGTAGGTACTCTCGCTCGCCACGCCCAATTGGTCGGTGTTGGTTGCGTTACATGCACACCGCACCCGCCCGCACTTGAACAAAACTGTTTTTTCGCCCGTTGCTACAGAGTAGTTCCTTGGCTTGCCCAGCACCGAATGCAGTATGTTTAACTTGGTTGAGGTGGCGGAGAAGCTCCCCCGAGTCCCCTTGTGATTTTTGGCGGTGCTCGTATGATACGGTATTGCTGGGGTGTTTACTCCCCCTGCGAGTCAGATCCACGCGCTCCAGTGTCCCCCTCGAGGTTTCTTACCTGTCTTGATATACCATGTCTTGGTGTCTTGGTACACTGTAGATATATGTTGCTGGACAACACACACGCTATTGTGTCAATGACGTCGTTTGATTGGCCAGGCGGTTGGCGCGGTCGTTGCTAATTTACAATATATATGTATGCACACACACATACACACACGAAAAAAGGTGGCCGACGGTGACAAGGCCTTGGAGAAAATAAGCCGTGATCGGGATGCACAGCGCGGCACCGTGGCCGCTCTGTCCCGTGACATCGCAGCAGTCAAGCAGCGCGAAGAGGCTGCGGTTTCGGGCGGCAAGGGCAAGGGGGAGAAGGGCGGCGGCAGCGGCAGCAGCGGGGGCCTGGCGCGGCTTAGCGAGGCGAAGGCGGCGGTGAGTCGTACTCGTCTCTCTTCTCTTGTCTCTCATCCCATGTCATGTCTGGATGTGTTTGTTGTGCATGGTGCAAACACAGCTCATGTTGTTCAGTCTTCATTGCACCAGGCATCACAAACGCTTGGAAGAATGCTATCAGGAAGGCCAACCAAGGCACGAAAACCAAGGTTAGGCTTTCATCAGCATCACCTCGTACAGTACTAGGCACGTCCACAGGAACAGGGCGTGCGCGTAGTGGTAGTGCAGCGGGTGCAGCCACCACGCACCAGCTACCCGAGACTTTCAAGAATAGTTGGACGCCTTTGTAACTACCTTTTGCTTGCACCCATGCAAACAAACAAGATATGTCAATCTTTTGCACGTACGTCACAGGAGTACGAGAAGCTCAAGGCCGATGCGCGGGAGAGAGGCTCCGGGGAGCGGGAGGAGATGGCCGACGTCGAGCGACAGCTCACGAACTCGAGGTCCAAGGTCGATCAGCTCCGCTCGGAGCAGGTATGTGGGGGATTCGGCCGGGCCAGCTCGGTAGGTGTAACCGCTTGCTCTTCTTTGCCAGGGTATTGCTCTATTTGGTGGAAGACGGGGTGAGGCTGCCATCCACTGGTGCGTTCGCTTGTTGGGGGGCCCGCTAAGTATATTTCTTGTCTGGAGGACCCGGCCTCCTCGTCAACTCTGAATGTTTGCACCTTGCACTCCTCGCGGAAAACTCGAACGCTTTACGTTTTTGTTGGGGGCCGCTTTTCAAGGTCGTTCTATTTTGAGTGATTTTTACCTGGAATAATTCATCCCGCACGTTGAAAGTGTGGAATTAAATTGTGGAACAGGGACACCAAGGAAATCATGTTTCACTGTGTAGGTTGCGTGGGTTCGGGGCCATGCTTTGCGGTAGTGTTTTTGCTCGGTTATCGTAAGTGTCGTAGAGGATGAGCTTGCTCGAGCACTAGCTGCATCGATTTAAGCGATGGCGTGATTGTTGTCGCCGGTCGACCGATCACGCACCCACCTGTGGACTCTTGAACAAAATGTCCCTGTTAGCCTCAAGGTTCTGTCGTGTAATGAAAGATATTACGGGTCTCGAGCGTGAACAAACTGCAAGGAATGTCTAGTCAAGCATCAAAGAGAGAAGATCCTCGACCTCGTGCAGCTGTTTTTGCAGAGAACCGGCATCCGCTGGTGCCATGCGACCCATTCTCTCTCTCCCTCTCTGTCCTCCTACCTCGTGTGTTGTCCCGACATCCCACCCCAAACAACAGGCGTCTCTCGACGAGCGGCTGTCTGGCTTCGACGCGAGCGCGAAGAGGTTCCGTCAGCGGCGGAGCGACATGGAGAAGACGACGAAGAAGGCTGCCTTGGACCGCGCCGAGCTGCAGCGTCAGCTAGACGAACTCACTGGGAGGAGCAAGGGCGACGCCGTCAGAGCAACGGAGGTGAGGCGGACGCGAGTTTGTGTTGCTTCGCTTCTCGGTTCTTGTGTTGGTACGGTATGCACCATGGCTAGAGACTTTCTGAGGGCAACGGGCGTGTGCGAACGTGACCACGTACGCTTTTCTGCTACAGGTGTTGCTCCGGTTGTCACGGTACGTACCATGGCCGCTGTCTTGTCAGGGCAACGGACGTGGGGCGGATGTCACGGCACCGTTTGAGTCCTGTTATTTAGTCTATAGTTGCCTTGAGGTTTGTCCTCTCTGTGTCTGTTGTGGGTTGTGCTTCGATTTCGTTACTGTCCCTGCCACGGCTGCCGTGGTACACGAGACAACGTCTTTCTGTTGCTCATGACCGAGTGTTTGTCAATGTGGTGTGATTTTGGTCTCATTGGTTGATGCTTTCGACGCCTGCTGGGATATCGTGTTGCTAGCGCGCCACCGATGCAGGCGCTTTTTGTAAGAGGTATTGAGTGTTGGGGTGCACGTGTGTGGGTTGACCAGCGCTGAAACGTAACAATACATGGTAGTGAACGGTGAGTGAGTGGCAACCCAAAACATCATTTCGTGTGATATTTTCATTTTTGAGTTCTCGCACTTGTATTCCCCGTAGCACTCGGACCCACTCGAACAAGTCCAACCATCCTCAAGTCCTCTGTCGTTCATTGTGACCCCAACATGTGTAGCTCATAATTCCGTTCTGTACCTGGTACCGTGTACTCTGTATCTCATTCCCTGTACCCTGTACTACCCTGTCACACTGTTCACCTGTACCTAGATCGACGAGGCCCTTCGGTCTATCAACGAGCAGCTCAGGGACGCCAAAGACGACCGACGCATGACCAAGCAACAGGAGAAGATGGCTGATTGCCTAGAGGTAAGTCACCCAAGGACACAGGCTATGGGCTGTAGTTTGTGGGAATGCGTTACACATGGATGGATGTGTTTTTTTGTTCAGCAGAGAAACGCAATGTTGTGTCAGAACCAGGGGACAACGACTGCCCTCGCTCTATCAAAGTTCCGAGGGAGTTTTTGTTTTGAAATTTGAAGTTCATTCCAGCAATGCTATTGGCAACAGGGTAAGGCGGCCGGCGCCATCGGTGAGGAGAAGAACGCCACAGGCTTGAACTCATTTTTTTTTTTATGGAGGAATACGGATATGATCGGTGAGTGTCCAACAAGCAAGAAGATAGCGAAGGGCTCAGTGAGTATGAATGAAGGTATCGTATGCATACGATGTAGTTCTGAGGGTTGAGCGGTTCATTCCCTAGACTCAGGCAGCAGAAGCAGCAGCTCGATACCCCTCACCGGATAAGTACTCTTACCCATCCACCATACTCCTTCGAGGGGCCCGAACCTGTGACTCTCGCAATGTCTCTTTCCTTTCCGCTTTCCCACTTGGAAATGGTCGGGGGATCTAAAATCTGAACGGCATGAAACCACACCAAAGCTTAGTAGGCGGCAATGGCAATTTCAATACCACCACCACCACCGCCACCACCGCCATCACCGCCATCACCGACAGACGTTGAAGCGCATCTATCCCGGGGTCAGGGGGCGCTTGGTGGACCTGTGCAAGCCGACCCAGCGGAAGTTCAACGTGGCCGTTACCACCGCCGCCGGCAGAGTGAGTTAATTCATAGTGGTGAATTCTGTCGCCTTTCGTAGGAGTTACTGCTTCGCCCCGACTCCCTTTCTTTTTCGTGATGGTGATTTTCCCACACGCTGTTCAATCTCGTCTGTCCATGTTAACGCACGAACATACATACGTGCGTACATTGATTCTGGAGCGAGAAGGCAATCATATGGTTTGAGAGTTGCTTCCATTGTACGGCATACGGCCATCTCCTGCTCTTGATCTTTTAGATGCTCTTTTGGATGCAAGCGTCCACTGTTAATGGAACTGGCGTGTTTGCGTAACGAGCACGGTTGTGTAATGCAAACATGCGATGCAACAGTTTCGCCGTTTCATACCTCCATCAGGTGCTACAGTACATTGGTATCATCCACCGCTTTCCCTCCCCACAGCCCCCCACTCACTCCCCCGGTCTCACCTCTCTACCCTTTTTTCACTCCGGTCCGTCTTCGCGGTCTCGTCGAGTACGTTTCTTTTGCCTCGCTTCTTCTCACCCTCCTGAGGTACCTCTGGTCCATTCTTTTGCGCCTGTTGCTAAACGTATTTGTTATCAGTACATGGAAGCCATAGTGGTCGACACGAAGGCGGAGTGCCTGGAGTGCCTGTCATACATGCAGACCAACAAGGTCGGCACTGCTCAGTTCATCCCCCTCGACACCATCAAGGTCAAGCCCATCAGCGAGAGTCTTCGTTCACTCGGCCCGAGGTGAGTGCTGCTCAGTTTCCACAACCGCCACCACCAGAAGTAGAGTCGTAGAGTCGTAGAGTCGTAGAGTCGTAGAGTCGTAGAGTCGTAGAGTCGTAGAGTCAGTAGTGGTGGTTGTAGTTGCACTCGTTCCTGGTTCTGCTCTTGCTTGTGTCTTAACCATGGATTTCCGGGACGGATCTCTACCCATTCCCTGCACAACACGGAGACCATAACATCACTGAGTACCTTTGCCCTTGTTGTTTTCTTGCCCTGTGAGTTGTGCCCCAATCAACGTAACTAAAATGTAGCGTGTTCCTTCCCCATGCTAAGTAGACAGACACGTTAGAAGCTGTCATTGCCCTCTGAGCCCAAACATCACCCTGGCTTCCCTGTGCACTGAACTGAACCAATGCATCCATCCTCCGGCGAGGCCAATACCCGAGTACCCTGTTTGGTGTAGACGGCTCATGTCTAGGTTCGAGAGCATTGTGAGACGAGTTCACTCCCCTTTTCCTTGCTCTGGCCGATTTTCTACCTCATGGTGTGTTGGGTTCCTTGCAACTGAGGTGTCAACGAACACGAGCCTTATCATCTTTCCCCTGACAATTTCCTTCGTCTTCGACGTGTTTTTTCAATGCAGCCACCGGCTGTGCGCAGACATCATGCAGGGAGGAGACGATGGTGTGAGAAAGGCAATCCTCTTCGCAGTCGGCAACACCATCGTCAGCGATACTCTTGATGCCGCGCGCGACCTCTGCTTCGGCAGTGGCGAGGACAAGAAGGCAAGTGTTTCGTTCTGTTGGTAGCAGGCAGCACAGCACCGGTGCGGATGGATGGGGCAAAGGGAAAGGGGTGCGCTAGGAAAAATGGTTGGTCGAGAGGTTGAAGACGGCGACGGATGGAAATGGCATTTGCCCTGTTCAGTACGGGGGCGCGCATTTGGAGTGTTTTTCGCCGCAGACGTGAAAGAGACAATCCAGGAGGCACTGTGTGACAGCTGCATAACAGCACAGAAATAACGGTGACCACTCGGTAATGGACTGCGGCGAAGTGTAGCCTACGAATTCGTGGAAGTATTGGATCAATGCCAGAGGTCACGAGGGGTACCCTGGAAAGATTGTCTCAAGTACCCAAAATTTAGCATACAAGGCGTGTTGATGGGATCTGCAGTGCTTGGACCAAAACTTGCAGGAACTACAACAAGCGTTTTTTTTTCCCTTAGCGAACGAGAGAGAATGAATTTCGGAGCGGATGTTGCAAGTTTGCGCCAATTTCCAGAAATACGGAAAATTAGTTGGGCATCAGGCCGATGGTAAGACATGGGAAGGAACGAGCGACACGCTCGATAACTGCGTTGAAACAGGAGGTGTGCTCGAGGAGGTTGACCCGAGCGGGTTTATGATACAGGTGCGTTCGACAACGACTTAACAAGCAAGCAAAGCAGTGGACAGTACAGTACACCGGTCAACGCCTGAGCCATGACACGGCCCATCTCACTCTGCCCCGAAACGACCACCGCACCCCAACCAAACGACATGAATGAAAGCAGATCAAGGCCGTCACCCTGAACGGCTTCTTGATCAGCAAGTCGGGCAACATGACCGGTGGGACCACGACTCGCGACTTAGCGCGCGCTGGACAGTGGGATGAGAAGGAGTTCTCGGAGCTCAAGCAGCGGCGGCAGGAGCTGGAGGATGAGAGGGAAACGCTTTCCAGAGAACACCGGAACCGATCCCTCAAGGCACGACCTACTTTTTTTTTTGGTTTGCGGCGCCTCCATGGTTCGCTTGAAATATTGCTGATGCTTTCTTATTTGTTGTTCTTTGTTTGTTGTTGTTATGGTTATTGTTGTTGTCATTGTTATTGACATGCCCCTCGCCCGTCACACCCACGTGCAGACTGAGCTTGAGACCAAGATCCGAGGGTTAGAAAACCGCGAGAAGCACAGTTCAGCAGACCTGGATATCACAAGGGAGGAGCTGAAAAGCATAGGGAAGCACCAGGAGGCGGCGGAGATCGACAGGGCCAAGGTACCCCCCCACCCCGCTTGTCTTCGAGAGGACCCTATGTGCTAGCACCGGCGTACGCTAATTCACCTGCGTGCTCAACCTCAGAGGTGAACGGAGCGGTTGTTGGTGTCGCACAGAGATTGGCAGGCCTTGTTGGTGTTGCTCGAGGGCAGAGGGTGTGTACACCGCGCTGAGAGGTACGTAGCTAGGGCTGAACAAGCAACAACGATGGCGGTAACGTGTCATCCACGAGCCAAGACTTGCAAAGTAATGGCTACCTTCAAGCGCCGCGCAGACAGTTTGAGGCCCTAGGTTCTCTGTGGGCTGGCGATAAAAACAAGTGGATACATGCCCACGTGTAACTCATCCATGCAGAGCTGTCCTCTCCACCCACCCCGCTCCAAGCATCCGAACGTGTACGTACTAATGTACTGTAGCAGCGCAAGATTAATCCCTCCTTCAGGCACTCCCTTCCCTCCTGGAATATAAACCGGTCGGTTGTTCAAAGAGGAAAGTGATTCCGACGAGTGCATCTTGCTCGTCAGGGCAAAAAAGGCGCACTGAAGAACGCAAGCCCCGACTCAGGTTGCAAATACGACGGGCGGTTCCTGTTTGCACGTTGAGGGCGTAGAGGTATTTTGACGTGAGGATGTCACCGCCAACACCGAACTTTTGCTTTTCGCGGTGCTGCCGTCCGTAACTGCTTCCTGCAGGTTAACGCGGAGCTTGGCGAGAGGGAGGCAGACGTCAGCAGGCTTGAAGCCTCTCTGCTTTCGCTACAGAACAAGGTCGACGCCGTGGAAAATGAGGTAAACGGGGGTGACGGAGGCCGTTAAGCTTGCCGGTCGAGAACTCAGCTGTGGTATGTGGTTCTGGTCTTTACGGGGGGCGAAGGTTCCGGTGTGGCGGGCGATAGCACCATTTTTTTCGGCATGATTGTGTTGGTTTTGATGCGTTCGACAGCGGTTCCGTGGAGGTAAGGGGTACGGCGAAAGACGGGTGGTGGTTCGCCCGGTACCGCTCTTGCTTCGCCGGTTTTTGTATTTTTTTACGGCTGTTCTTGGGGCTGTAGCCTTCGGCCGTCGATTTGGCCCCCGCTGGTGCTGATGGTGCTGCTGGTGCTGCCGTAATTATCGACCAACCGATTCATTCACCAATCCAACCGCCTAACTCACCCAATCACCAGACCCTGTTGCCGCGGAAGCAATGAGAACAGCGATGCGTTACGTGACATGGCCGCGCAGGTGTTCGCACCGTTCCTGAAAAGCGTGGGCGCGAGCGACATTCGCTCGTTTGAGGAGGGCCAGCTGAAGGACATGCAGGAGCAGTACAAGGCGCGCATGAAGCTACAGCAGCACCGCTCCAAGCTAGAGGTAAAGCGGTAACCCGACTTTCGCCGGCCGGTCGGCCGAGAGGGTATAGCAGGACAGATTTGCTTGAATCCGTGGTCGACAACGTTAGTCATCCTGCCCGACTGGTGCTTGGGTGTAGGCACAGGTTATTCTGAGTATGGGGTGAGAGGCGAAATGCGTACATGCATGATTTAGTTGCGTATGCTAGATACTTGCACTTGTGTCTGTGGAAGAGGGAACTTCACTCTTTTCGCCGAGCAACTGCCGCTGAAGACATCCGTGACAATTGTGTAAGTTAGGGGGCACAGGTGGGTTTCCGTCTATTTACGCGAGCAAATAGACGGCCGAGAGGTTGGGTGAAATCACTCGACGCAAATTACATTCGGGGTGCTTGATGTCTTTCATCGCTGTGTTGGCCACATTCTCAAACTGTTTCATGTGGTTTAACAATCTCTGTGGGTCTGTCTGTTCGTCTCGCCTGTCTGATGTTTTTTGTTTCTATCCCTTCAGGCCCAGCTGGCACACGAGCGTAGCCGCGATTTCGACGGCCCGCTGGACAAACTTACGCGAAAGATCAACGCGAGGAGGAAGGAGCTGGAGGAACAGCACGTCAAGATGGAGGAACTGGTCGAGAGAGAAAGGGTAAGGGAGAGGCAGTCGACAGAGCGAAAGAGAGAGAGAGAGAGAGAGAGCGAGAGAGAGAGAGAGAGAGAGAGAGAGAGAGAGA